ATCGGAAGGAAGGAAGGAAGGAAGGAAGGAAGGAAGGAAGGAAGGAAGAGGATTTCAGATGCTCCCTGGTGGGGAAGCTGGCAGGAAGTCGGAAGTCACTCCTGCTACCAATTTTGTCCACCCTTAGTCATTCTATTTCTCTGGATTATACTTATACAAATTATACTTCAAATTTATATTGATCCGGAATTTTGCAGCACCAGCAATTGAAACTTACACGATTGCAGCTGCTTCAAACAGGTACTGGCTTAAACCGGGGAAGCTAATGAGCCGCCGTCTCTCAACCCGACCTACCTGGCAGGGTTGTTATGTGGAAAATAGAGAGTGCTAGGCTAGGCTTTCCACCCTGAACCTCTGAGGAAAGATGGGATGTACAGCGATCAAATAAGGAATTGGGTGGGCTTCTCAGTTCAAGATGGTTGAATTTTGGCTCTTCTTTCAGTACCAGAATGCCTGGCCTGGCGAGAGCCCTCCGGTTGGGGAGCAGAGGTTGCCACCCAAGGATTATATGGTGGAATCCGTACTGGTGACCATTTTTCTGCTGCTTGTTCACGGGACTGGTAGCCCTCGTCTATTCCCACGAGGTACGTGCTGCTACGGCAAAGAAAATGCTGAGGTTCAGGGGGGAAACAGGGAACTTATGACCGATTTTCCCACTTTGATCCCCATGGCCGCCCGATCAAAATTCAGGCGCTTGTCAGCTGGCTCATATTTATGACGGTCATAGCGTCCCGGGGTCATGAGTTCCCCTTTTGCGACCGTCTGACCAGAAAAATCAACGGGGAAGCCAGATTCGCATAACAACCGTGGGACTAACTTAACAACTGCGGCAAGACAGGTCAAAAAATGGGGCAAAATGGATGGATGGATGGATGGATGGATATGGGGATGGGTAGGTGGGTGGATGGTTGAGTGGATGGAGGGACAGATGGATGGATGGATGGATGGATGAGGGGATGTGTACGGTAAGTGGATGGATGGATGGATGGATGGATGGATGGATGAGGGGATGGGTAGGTGAGTGGATGGTTGAGTGGATGGATGGATGGACGGATGAGTAGATGCATGGATGGATGCTTAACAACAGACAATTTTAGGCTCAATTGTGGTCATAAGGCGAGGATTATCCATGCTTGGCCTTGCTTCCAAGGAAAAAGTTGCACAGTGGGTCCATATTTCTCACCTAAAGTGGAAATCGTTCCAAGATTCTCCATTTTCTTTCTCATGTAGACCCGGGCCGCTCTGAATCGAGGTGACCTCATCCAAGCCACGATGGCTTCCCACAAAGCTCGCTCGCTCGTCTTGTTCAGTCTCTTCTTCGGCCTCTTTGTGTCCATCAGCTGGATCATCTACGTGGTGGTAACCTTGTATCTATGATCCAGTGGGTTGGGATGGACCTTAGGGTTTCCTACAAAGTGGTGATACGGAGCCTTCATCCTTTTCAACCAGCTTGGGAACCAATTTCTCTTGTTGGCACTTTCTTCTTGTCTCTTCTCCAAAACCAACCACATCAACATCTTTCAAGAAGGAACGATTGTTGTCCTAAAGTGATGAGATCCCTCACCACCAAGCTGGAAAGAGGACTTCAAAGTGCAAAGCACTGATCTACCTTCTTTCAAACCTTACTGAAGCCAACTTAATTGTTATTTCATTAGTCTTAATTCAAAAAAATGCACCAACAGTCTGATCCAAGAAGGATTTTAAAGGAGATACCAGACTCTTCTTGGAAAAGCTTCAGGTTATCCTTGGGTCAGGTCAGGAGGGCGATCCTTGGTCCATGGGTTCTCCAGGCTTCGAGATCGAATCAGGGGCACTGCCCTGCGAAGACATCAGGAATTCCAAACTGACTTTTATTGAGGATGCTGAATTAGGAACAATAAATGCTGGAAGGATTTTTGCCCATTCGTGTCCATTGTGTGATCGTTGAGCTGAGAGGACAGCAGCTGATCTTCATTCTCTCCTTGCCTAGGTAAAAGATTGGATGGATGGATGGATGGATGGATGGATGGATGGACAGACGGATAGACAGACACATAGATCAATGATATAGATTAGGTAGGTAGATAGGAAGGTAGATGAACAGATGAGATAGTTGGATGGTAGATAGATCAATTATAAATAGATTAGGTAGATGAGCAGATTAGATAGATAGATAGATAGACAGACAGACAGACAGCAGACAGACAACTAGATCAATTATAGTGATAGATTAGGTAGGTAGGAAGATAGATAAGCTATAGATAGATAGATAGATAGATAGATAGATAGATAGATAGATAGATAGATAGATATGGATGGTAGATAGATTGATCTAATTATCTATCTATTTATCTATCTACTATAGAGATAGATTAGGTAGGTAGATAGGAAGGGAGATAGATAAGATATAGATAGGTAGATTAGATATGGATGGTAGATAAATTGATCTAATTGACTGTCTATCTATCTATCTATCTATCTATCTATCTATCTATCTATCATAGAGATAGATTAAATAGGTAGATAGGAAGGGAGATAGATAAGATATAGATAGATAGATTAGATATGGTAGATAAATTGATCTAGTTGACTGTCTGTCTATCTATCTACCTATCTATCATAGAGATAGATTAGGTAGGGAAATAGGAAGGGAGATAGATAAGATATAGATAGATAGATAGATAGATAGATAGATAGATAGATAATGGATGGATGGATGGATGGATGGATGGATGGATGGATGGACGGACAGACAGAGAGAACAGTCTTCTCTACAATGATGCCACCAGTGCCTAAGCTTTTGAGAAATAGCAAGGGCAAAAAACATTGAATTTCTTTGATCACGTCCTCAATGTCCATTTCAACTACTTGTTTTCAACCTGGAATATGTGGAAATATATTTGCACGTTGGGTGCAGCTTTGAAAACCCTGCTACCGTTGATGGTGACAGGATCCGGAGTTCTTTAACTGCATTTATTTTCACTAGTGTTTCCCCCTGCCTCCCTTGAATATAAAAAAGCAATAAACATGTTTTCAGATTTTTTTTTATTTGCAAGATTTGGGGATCTACACTGTTGAGCCATAAATACAGAGTGTTGGGCTCAGGAGAGCTGGTAGATGAGTTAAGATAACCGAGGACAATTTTGTAAAAGTTTATCCGGTTTTCTCTTTTGATTTCCAAAATCAAACTGAATCTACCCCCCCTTCCCCCCCCTTTCACTCCTTCCTTCCTCAATGCTGGCGTCATTAACTCATGAGTTAATGATGTGAGATTGAGAAACCGGTGCTGCTGTAGCTGGACACCAATTTAAATGAAACTCTGCTCCCGGAGGAAGTAAATCAAACGTTGTCCCTGTTTTAAGTAGCAGGAATATTAAAGAAGAGGGGGAAAAAATCAGGCCTATGGGTCAGATTCAGAAATGGGAGCCGTGTGGGGGGAGGAGAGTGGAAAAGGAGGAGGAAGAAGAGGAGAGGGGGGAAAGGAGGAGAGAGGGGGAAAGGAGGAGGAAGAGAAGAAAGGGGGAAAGGAGGAGGAAGAGAAGAGAGGGGGAAAGGAGGAGGAAGAGAAGAGAGGGGGAAAGGAGGAGGAAGAGAAGAGAGGGGGAAAGGAGGAGACGGGAAAAGGAGGAGGAGAGGGGGAAAGGAGGAGGAGGAGAGGAGAAAGGGGGAAAGGAGGAGAGGGGAAAAGGAGGAGGAAGAGGAGAGAGGGGGAAAGGAGGAGATGGGAAAAGGAAGAGGAGGAGAGGGGGAAAGGAGGAGACGGGAAAAGGAGGAGGAGAGGGGGAAAGGAGGAGGAGGAGAGGAGAAAGGGGGAAAGGAGGAGAGGGGAAAAGGAGGAGGAAGAGAGAGAGGGAAAAGGAGATGGGAAAAGGAAGAGGAGGAGAGGGGGAAAGGAGAGGAGGGAAAGGAGGAAGAGGAGAAGGGACGATGCTTTTGGTGGTTTAGGAGATGGGGCAGGAAAATAGAAGAAAGAAAGAGAAGGGGAAGAGATGATAGCAATAGAGAAGAAAAAAGAGAGAAAGAGGAGAAGAGAAGGCGGTAGCAGTGATAGAAAAGGATGGAACACCTTAGTTCTGGCCACTGAGCAAAAGGAAAAAAAAAAAATCAAAAGCACGAAGCACGAATTACGCCCCCAAACGCCCAACCCTCCCAAAAATGGAGAAAACAAACACTTTTTGGAAACAAACAAATCTCGGGCATCTGATTTCAAGGAGCAGAGAATGGAAGGAGCCCTAGAAATTTCTCCAGCATGCCTCGAGGGAAGCTGGAGGAGAATAAAACGCAGGCTGTGCAGCATGGGAGTGGTAGTCCAACACGTCTGGAAGGTGCTGTGGGAGAGAATATTCAAGGGGGGGGGAACTCTCTATCTCGTTTTAACGATTGGGCGGGAGTAAATTTAGGTTTAGCCATCATCTCTGGAGCCCAACAATCCAAACCAACCCAGCTTATTTTCTGTCCACGATGAGTTCTGTCGTAATTTTGGGCTGATGTCTTCACAGCCTAAAGATTCGTTTCGTCTCTTCCCTAGTCGTTTTCCTTTTTTCTTTTCTTTTTTTTTTAAAAAACCAAAATCGATTCCTTGTCAAAATAATAATAATAACAATAATAATAATATTAATAACCAACTAAAAACAACTCAAACAAAATGACAAAACGGCCCTCCAGAAAAAAAGTGGGGAAGGGGAAAGAACGAAAATCAAACAAAACAAAAAGAAAGAAAGAAAATATATATATATATCCACGGGCAAAATCCAAACATGCACATCGAAAGGAAAAAAACGCAACGGTCCTAGAACCCCCGTTATGTACAAGGTGGCTGTGTTTTTTTCTACAGGTTCGCTGCCTTTACAAGCTTTTAGTACCATCGCCAAGGGAAGACGTTCCTCCCCCCGTTTTCCCAACGTGGAAATCCGGACGTCGGGGTGGAGAGTTTGAGAGATGACGCCCCACTTCCGGGTGGAGAGGAGAAGGAAGCCATCCAAGTTCTCGGACGAGATGGAGAGAAGAGCGGATTGAGGAAGCCCCCTCACAACGTCCTTCTCTGCTCTGGAAGATCGACTTCACCAGGAGTTGTGGTGTCGACACCATCTCTTGCCAGGGAAGGGGGTGGAGGTCCAGAGTTTACCTTCCACCCTTCCCAAGTTTCCTTGGCTCTTTGTTTTCCCCAGGTTTTGGAAGTATCTGAGATGGTTCTCCTTGGCGCGCGCTCTTCGGGAAATGCCCTTGGCCAACCCCATCCACGGTTACGCCATGGCAGGGTGCGGGAAATCTTGGTTCACGTCTCCTTTCTCCGCTTGAGTGTGTGCAAAAATGTAGGCTCTCTCTCTCTCTCTCTCTCTCTCACACACACACACACACATGCACCTTGGGTGCAAGTACCACTTGACATTCGACAAGGCGCAAAGTCACCTCTTCGGATTCTCTTCCGCCCCTCATTTTTCCGGACCGGGAGGGTGATGTACAACAGCCCAGAAGTGATGGAGAAAGATCAAGAGGGACTTGGAGATTCTCCCACCACCACCAGCTCAGGAAGTGATGGAGATCTGCTCAGGGTGCCAAGGCTGGGACGCTCTGTACCAGTCCTAAATCGGATGCCTAATCGGACTTCCTGCTTTCCCCCGCCCCGCCCCCCCTTCTAAGTCTTCTCTTCTCGGTCTGTTTTCCGCCGCGTTATGTTTCGGGGTTTGATTTTGAGCGAAAGTTCCCATAAGGCCTCCTCGGCCAGATGGTCGCTGAAGTCGTTGAAGAAGGAAATGATGTCATCGTTGCGTTTGATGTCATAATGCCTGCAAAGGTCAGAGAGAAAGGGGCAGCTTAGACTGGAACAGATCCAATTAAGGGGTGAACCCTTAATCCCAAAGGTGCTTTTTTTTCCCAAGAGGCAACTGGATTATCTTGAGTTTTTCTTGGAAGTCGTTTCGCTTCTCATCCGAGAAGCTTCTTCAGCTCTGAAGAAGACGCGGAATGGAAGGATTTATACTCCTTGCAGACAACTGGTCATTTTCATTCTTTCGGAGAGTCGTTGAGGCCACTTGGAGGTTTCTCTGCATCCTGAGGGTCACCTGAATAGCGCAAATGGGTGCGGAGCCTTCTACAACACAATCCTTTCAGCAATTTCAAGAAGGCGCCGCAATTCGCTATTCAACCCTCCGCAGACAAAACTCCAAGTGGCCTCAACGACTCTCTAAAAAGAATGCAAATGACCATAAATCCTTCCATTCCCCCAAGTTTCTAGGATGAGAAGCGAAACGCCTTCCGAGAAAAACCAGAATGTCCAGCTGTCTCTTGGGGGGGAAAAAAAGCACCTTTGGGACCACCATGACTTGATGGCTGACTGAGAATCTCCAGAGAAGGATCTCTCCTTCAGCACAGTCAACCCAAAACATGGGCACGGGGAACGCGAAGCCAAGGGAGAAGAAGAGGGAGCCCCCTTACACTTGCTGGAAGCGTCTCATGTTGTCCAGAATGTTGAACTGTTGCCATCGCTTGGAGAAGTTGACTTTGCCGTCGATGTAGTCGGGGTTTCCCAGGTGCACGAAAGTCAGGTCTTGCAGGATCAGGCCCCTGGAGGAGGAGAGAAGGGAAAAGGAAGAGCTTCCAATTCAAACAAATATAAGACAGGGTCTTATTTTCAGGAAACACGGTATCTATCTATCTATCTATCTATCTATCTGCCCCATTTCCCCCAAAATAAGACATCCTCTGATAATAAACCCAATCGGGCTTTTGGGCACATGGCAATAAGGCCAAGCACTTATTTCAGGGTTCAAGAAAATATAAGACAGGGTCTTATTTTCGGGAAAACACAGTCTCTATCTATCTATCTATCTATCTATCTATCTATCTATCTATCTATCTATCTATCTATCTATCTATCTATCTATCTAAACATTCTATCTAAACATTAGGACTAATTTCTTGATGACCATCTAGCTCTTAACAAATCCAACTGCTAAAGATGAGTTACAATATATTAAGAGTTGACATATACAGCTATGCCTTCCCTCTGGTCGATCTCATAGACCTAGCTACCTCATATAGTGACCGTTTGCTATTATGACCCTGATGAGAAAAAATTAACTTTTTCGGCCAATCTTGGCTTTTACAACTTTCACGGGTCTGTAAAGCAAAGCGGAAGTAAGATGGTGCTATTGCAACGTTTCCACTCAGCAACCACTTCGCTTAACGACCAGGTTGGCGGTCTCAATGGTTAGGTGAGGTTGAACACATTGTGATCTTCTCCAAAGAGAAGGATAAAAGAAAGGTTGTGACGCTACTCACAGGTAAGGAATACAAGGCGGTTCGACCTCAGCGAGGGCAGCTCGGTAAGCGCGGAAGGACGACGAGCTGTCAATTAGGGTGCAATACTCTGCCAAGCCCTAGGAAAAAGAAAGGAAGAAAAGTATAATGGTCCTTGACTTGTTTAGCGACCGTTTGAAGTCAGAACTTGGCTGGGCCTCCGCCAAGGTCTTCTCCTCCGTCGCGTGGGCCAATTTCCATGGACGTTATTTTTGTAAGCTACCCAGAGTCACTGAGAGTGAGTGAGTTAAAATTAAACTTCCAATTATTGTTACTTTGGTCGTCTTAACTTTGGATCTGATGAGCTGGGCTATCTTGGAAAAACTTTGGTGTGATATCATCAAACTCTTTATTATTCTCTCTCTTTCTCTCACATAGAGAGGGAGAGAGAGAAAGAGGGAGAGAGAAAGAGAAAGAGGGGGGAAAGAAAGAGATAGAGAATGAGAGAAAGGGGAGAGATAGAGAAAGAAAGAGAGAGAAGGGGAGAAAGAAGGGAGAAAAAGAGAAAGAGGGGGAAAGAGAGAGAAAGGGAGAGAGAGAGAGAAAGGAGGAGAGAGAAAGAGAGAGAGAGGGAAAGAGACAGAAAGGGGAGAGAGAGAGAGAAGAGAGAGATAAAGGGGAGAGAGAGGGAAACTGAAAGAGGGAGAGAGAAAGAGGGAGAGAAAGAAAGGGGAGAGAGAGAAAAGAGAAAGAGAGGGAAAAAGAGAGGAGAGAGAGAGAAAGGGGGAGAGAGAGAGAAAGAAAAGAGAAGGGGAGAAAGAGGGGAGAGAAAGAGAAACAGAAAGAGGGGGAGAGAGAAGAGGGAAAGAGAGGGAGAGAGAAAGAGAGAGAGAGAGAAAGGGGAGAGAGAGACAGAGGGAAAGAGAAAGAGAGAGAGGGGAGAGAGAGGGAAAGAGAAAGACAGAGGGAAAGAGAGAGAGAGAGAGAGAGAAAAAGGAAGAGAGGGTGTGTGTGTGGGGGGGGAGGAATATGGATATAAAATACAGGTAGTCCTTGACTTACAACAGTTCATTTAGTGACCATCCGAAATGACAGTGGCACTGAAAAAAGTGACTGTTTCCACACCACCGTCATGGGCCAAAACTCCCTTAACAGAGGTCTCACTTAGCGATGGAAATTTTGGCCTCGGTTGTGGTCGTCAGTCGAGGGCCAACCCACCTCGGAGGTCTGTTTCTGCCACTCAAGACGCCGAATGGGGGCCGAATCCAGCGCCGACAGGATGGCCAAGTAGGAGTTGAAGTTGTTGAGTTTCCGTAAGTGCTGCGGCGAAAAAAGGGAAAGAAATATCGGAGGACTGCTAGAATGTCAGCCCGAGTTCTTTCTCTCCGTTAGATCGAATGTCCTTCGTTTTGTTCGAGAATTCAAAACGATTCCCCAGCAGTGTTTTTAGCCATGATGGCGAATCTATGGCATGCGTGCCACAGGTGGCACACATAGCGGTATTGGTGGGCACGCGAGCTCAGCTCTGGCGCACATGTGCATGCTGGCCAGCTGATTTTTGGGCCTTCTGGGCCCACCAGAAGTAGGGAAACAGGCTGTTTCCTGCCTCCAGAGGGCCTCTGGGAGTGGTAGGGAAGGCTGTTTTTGCCCTCCCCAGACTCCTAGAAAGGCTCTGGAGCCTGGGGAGAGAGAAAAACGGGCCTGCTGGGCCCACCTGACCATTGCGTGCCAGGAGCGGGGTGTGTGTGTCATGTGTGCATGCATGGGGGCGGGACGCATAGAATTATGGGTGTGGGCACTTGTACATGCAACCCACCCCCCCTGCGCTCGCCTCGCTCCTGGCACGCGATGGCAAAAAGGTTAGCCGTCACTGGATTTTTAGTCTGTCTGTCTTTCTGCCACCCTGCCCCTCTAAGGCAGCTCTCCAGCTTGTCCTAACCCAGGCCTGGTCCGGTTCCTTGAACTGGGTGTCTGCCAGTCTCCCGGCCCTCCCCAGCTGAGCCTTTTACCTTCATGATTTTGATAAATTTCAACAACAGCCTCTCTCGGTCTTGAGACTTTTCCTGCTGCATGATTATCGAGCGGACCCTGTGGGTTAGAAAAAAAGAAGGGAGACCCAACAAGGCGTGGAAACTTCAGGTTGTTTCTTAGATCAGGTGAAACCGATTCCGTTTTTAAAATAAAATAAAATGTTTGCTGAGGTGCCCAGGTTCTGTTAGTCCTAGCTGCCCCCTGGATAGAAGATTCATTTCTCTCTTCAGTTTCTTCTCAGAGACGGTCTTTTATTTTGCCTGGTGGGATGTTTCAAAGCAAAGTTTCCATCCATCCATCCATCCATCCATCCATCCATCCATCCATCCATCCATCTATCTATCTATCATCTATCTATCTTCTCCTCACACACACACATCTATCTATCTCTCTTCTATCATCTATCTTCTCTCTCTCTCTCATCTCTCTTCTCTATCTTCTATCTATCTATCTATCTATCTATCTATCTATCTATCTATCTATCTATCTATCTCTAGCTATCTATCTATCTGTCATCTATCTATCTATCATCTATCTATCTCTTCTCTCTCTCTCTCATCTATCTATCTATCTATCTATCTATCTATCTATCTATCTATCTATCTATCTATCTTCTATCTTCTCTCTCTCTCTCATCTATCTATCTATCTACTATCTATCTTCTATCTTCTCTCTCTCATCTATCTATCTATCTATCATCTATTTATCATCTATCCATCATCTATCTTCTCTCTCTCTCATCTATCTATCTATCATCTATCTTCTCTCTCTCATCTATCTATCTATCTACATTCTCTCTATCTTCTATCTATCTATCTATCTATCTATCTATCTATCTATCTATCTATCTTCTATCTATCTATCTATCATCTATCTTCCCTCTCTCTCCCTCCCCCCCTCTCTCTATCTGTATCCCACTTTCATTATTTTTACAAATGGCTCAAGGTGGCGGAGACATCCCACACAACTTCCGTGTCCTATTTTTCCCCCAAACAACAACAACCCTGTGAGGTGGGTTGGGCTGAGAGAGAAAGCATATTGGCTCAAAGCCCACCCAGATAGCCTTGGTGGCTAAGCGGGACTAGAACTCACCGTCTCCTGGTGATTAGCCCGAAGTCACCTCGCTGGTTTTCCTGCCTAAAGCGGGACTAGAAGTCACTGTCTCCTGGTGATTGGCCCAAAGTCACCCAGTTTGCTTTCATAGCTAAGGCGGAACTAGAACTCACAACCTCCTAGTGATTAGCTCAAAGATACCTAGCTGGCTTTCATGGCTGTAGGATAACACACCAGAACCATTTTTTTTCTCTCTCTTACCAGTAAGACATATTATTAAAGTGCTCGGTGAACTGTGTCAAGTTGGGACTTTTCTCCTCATTTTGTTCCTTTGCCCAGAGTAATACTTCAGGGATCTGAAAAGGACGTGAGGACATGGGGGGGAAAAAAAGTAGATTAATACTTTCATTAGTCCAGTATCAAATTTAGAGCTCTGGAAAATTCAAATCTGTCAGGTCCCCAAAAATCCAAAATGATCTGTGGAGTTGCTTGGGAGTACTTTCTTTACTGCTATTCGCCTACAGACACAATCTTGCCAGATTAAAGCAACTATCTGCGTAACTATTGCTATACTCGGTGAACTGCTAGTGAGTTTTTCTTTGCCCTCTTCCTCCCTACCAGACATTCCATGCTCCACTGCCTCTTTGTCCTCTGGGAAGCATTGCCTCCATCCTGGGACTCCGGACTACATTCCAGCACAAAATCTAAGCCTAAAAATGTAGAAAGTCTCCAAGATGGCACAACGGGCAATGGTAGGTAAATTTGAACAGGGAGTCATGCAGAGGTACAACGGGCACTCGGAGAGAGGGGACTGTTTGGGCAGGAAAAACTGGAAATGATTCAGAGACTGGATAGTCCTTTGTTTGGAAAAGGAAGCATGCTGAAGATACGGGCATTGTGCAGAGATGCAACGGGCACCCTCCTTTGACTTGATAAAGTCCTTTAAAAAATAAAATAAAACAAAGAGAGGGCCCAGAAGTATGAATTCGGGACGGTTGCGACAATATCTTGGAGGTAACTTCCGCACGTCGTTTTCATACCTCAATTTTGTAAAACAGCTCTGCGTCGAGGAGAGTGAGCTGTTCTGAAATTTCGTGGCTGTGGAAATCATGGAGGGTGCCAGGCCTGGAAAACAGAAACGACGGGAAAAGCAAAAAATGGATTTATTGAGAAGGGTCGCTATTTACCTTTCAAAAGGAGTAAAAACAAAATAAACAAAACCCACCATGAAATTATGGATTGAGCGTGACATTCATCATCCTGTCTTTTGAGATTCTCAGCCATCCAGGTCACGGTTATCCCAAAGGGGCTTTTTCAGGAGGCAACTGAAATTTCTTGTTTTTTTCTTTTGAAGACATTTCCCTTCTCATCCGAGAAGCTTCTTCAGCTCTGACTGGATGGTGGGAGAAGGGAAGGATTTATACTCCTTGCAGACAGCTGGTCATTGGCATCCTTTTAGAAGGTCGTTGAGGCCACTTGGAGGTTTCTCTGTGTCCCAAGGATCACTGCAGGTAAAACTCCCAAGTGGCCTCAACGACCCTCTAAAAGGATGCCAATGACCAGCTGTCTGCAAGGAGTATCAATCCTTCCCTTCTCCCACCATCCAGTCAGAGCTAAAGAAGCTTCTTGGATGTGAAGGGAAATGTCTTCAAAAGAAAAAAACAAGAAATTTCAGTTGCCTCTTGAAAAAAAGCACCTTTGAGATATTCAATTTCCTGGTTATCTCATCTACTTGAATGTTGAAATAATTACAGGTAGTGTTATGACCAGAATTTCCATTGCTAAGCTATGTTAAGTGAGCTGCATCCAATTTTTAACCAACGTAGAGATGACCAAGAACAGGAAAGATTGAGAGATGAAAGTGGGGATGGATGACGGGAGGAGAAGAAAGAACAGCCAAAAGAGAGCCAAATAAGAGAGCAAGACGAGAAAGCGTCGAGAGAAGGAGCAAGAGCAGAAGTTAAAGAAAGAACAAAGGGACATAAGAACGACTTGATTGACAAAGCAAATAAATCAGGAAGAAATGGAAGAAGAAATAAAAATAATTTCCTGGGCTAGAAATGGACTGAATTCGGCAATTCGGCAAGAGGAAGGAAAATATTGAATAAATGAGGGAAGTTAAAATTAGAAATGATAGGCCTACGAGACGTTCCTATGAGAAAACAACACCCAAAACTTTTGAGGAAGGAAGAGTATTGATGGCAGAAATTGTAATAAACTACCCAAAAAAACAGAAACACTCTAGTCTGGCCGAGGCCCCGGAAACCGGTCCCGCCCGAGGCCGCCTGAGCGTCCCGATAGACCGGGCCGTCTGTCCGTCGCGGACACCCCCGGAGCCCGTCGCGGGCACCGCGGCGACGGCAGAGATCCCCGACAGAGGACCCCATAGTCCTCCTTCTCCTCCCTAGCGCTGAAAATATTGTTCTCAAAAATGTTGAAGGACCTCTGGCACGCTGAATCTGGACTGCACCTTCCTTAGCAAAGATTCTGGGTTTTTTTCCCCCTCTATGGTTCTGCCCTACGGAGAACCGTCCCCCGTCTCACCTGGCCGCCACCCATCGAGCCGCTAAAGGCTTGATGGAGTTGGTGTAACGCAGCATCTTCCTCTGGTCGACTTTGTCCAAGATATTTTTGCGCAAGACCCGGGCGAGGCTGAGTTCTCCGTTGCACACCAGACGGAAGACCAGCTCCATCAGTAGCTTCAGGATCTCTTCGGTCAGCTCTACCAAACTGGAAGGAAGGAAACCGATCCGGTGAAGGCTACGTTTCAGATCCACCCAGGAGTAGGTGGTGATGAGACGCCTTTGGGGGATCCCACCAAGGTGGGAACGCGAGTGGGGCCCTGGGCAGCTTTCTCTGATCTTAAACTAGATCTTCAAGGGTGCTAGTCCTCATGACTACAGGAGGAAATTCAACCGCCCACTAGCTACATCGACTGAAGGTTTGTATCCACTACTAAGGGACATCTGTAACAATCACCGATCATATATTATGTACCATGATGGGAGGCTCATTTGGGGCTCTGAGCAGCTTTCTCTGATCTTAAACTAGATCTTCAAGGTGCTAGTCCTCATGGTTATAGGAGGAAATTCAACAGCTACATCTACCGAAGGTTCGGATCCACTAAAAGGCATCTTAACAAGTCACAAAACAATTTACTGTGTTTGTTTTTATAGGGCAGTAAAGTTTAATACAAGAATACATTTAGCATATTCAAGAGCCTTGGTAGTACAGTGGTCTAAAGCACCCTGTTATTAAGACCAGCTGCCTGCAATTACTGCAGGTTCGAATCTCGCCAGGCTCAAGGTTGACTCAGCCTTCCATCCTTTCTAAGGTAGGTGAAATGAGGACCCAGTTTGTGAGGGCAATAAGCTGACTTTGTATAAATATACAAAAGGATGAAGGCTATTGCTTAACGCACTGTAAGCCACCCTGAGACTCCGAGAAGGGCGGCATATAAATCAAATTAAAATAAAAAATAAATAAAATAAATATTGATTCTTTGGGTGACCTAGAACTCAGGTCTGGTTCTAGCTGATTCTTCTTCTGCAGATCAAATCCCAGCACACACACACACCCGAAACATATTTAAACAAGAGTTTCTTCTTACCATAATTCATCCACCACTCGCACCAGGACGAAAAACGTATTCTTGCTGACGCGTTTCTTATTGTTGTCTGGACAGTGGCAAAACTTCTCATATGTTGGAAGGGGAGTTAAAGAAGTTAAACAACAGGTGGCGACAACTAGCCATCATGGCTGGTTTTAGAAGGATCGAAGCGGTCGATTCCTGGGTAGGAAAGACCTCCAGGCAGATCTCCCAAAGTTACACGGGCAAGTGAGATAACCATATAAAAAGGGGTGTCCAACCTTGGCAACCTTAAAGTCTTACGGACTTCAACTCCCATAACTCTGCAGTCAGCATGCTGGCTGGGGAATACTGGAAGTCCACCCGTCTTAAATTTTTTTTTTTTTTTTTTTTTTTTATTTGATTTATATGCCGCCCTTCTCCGGAGACTCAGGAGAAAATTGCCCAGGTTTGGATACCTGGTTTAGAAGACAAGGATAAACCAGTTCCATATTGTCTGGGCTGCTCTAGTATTGGTATAGCGAGTCCTTGACTTACAACAATTCACTTGGGGACCGTTGAAAAAGTGACTTTTTTCAGACTTATGACCGTTGCATTGGACGTGGTAGGTATCATCCAATAAGACAACATCCAGCATCGCGCGCTTCTCAAAGGGGGATCCACCCCCCCTAATTTTATCCCCGTCCCCCCTAAAAAGGATATCGGTATTGTAGCTTTTTTATAAGCTCTTCTGGGGAAATAAACGTTCGGTAAGTTGTTAAGAAGGCTTCGCAGTAGAGCACCAGATCTGGCCGACGGAGGAAGAAAAGAGAGAGAGAGAGAGAGAAAAAGAAATTAATTCATCTTCTGATCAAGCAGGTGTCCTCACCTTGGAGGTCTGGGGGCTTCACCTCTTCCACCCAGGATGAATTTTTAAGCCTCGTGACCGGCAGTGGGTTTTCAATATTCTTACCATCGTTTTACCGCAGGCGCACACCAGGGGTTGGTTCTACTTACCTTTTACTACCGCTTCGCATCGTGCCCGTGCGTGCGCTCTTCGCTTTTGATGACATCCGGGTCAGTGGGCGGAGCCACCCGCTGGTTTTACTACCGGCTCTATAGCATTCAATACGCCCCACCACCCCTTGAATGCGCGCACGACCCCCCCGCGTGCCCCCCCCTGCTTTTAGCACACGGTGGGCACGGTAGGCCCGTTTTTCACTCACCCCAGGCTCCAGAGCCTTTCTTGGAGCCTGGGGAGGGCAGAAACAGCCTTCCGCACCATCCTGAGGCCGGAAACGGCCCGTTTGCTGACTTCTGGTGAAACCGGAAGTGCCGTTTTTAGCTCTCCCCAGGCTCCAGAGCCTTTCTAGGAGTTTGGAGTGTGTGAAAACGCTTCCACACACACATACCCTTCCAGAGGCCCTTCAGAGGTTGGAAATGGCCCATTTGCCAACTTCCAGTGGGCCCGGAAGGCCCAAAGAGCTAGGGCAATGCTCGTATGCCCATCGATATGGCCCCATGTGCCACCTGTGGCACGAGTGTCATAGCTTTGCCATCCTAGATCACAGAGTGATCTCTGCTACCGTTTCGCTCGAACCGAGATGAACCGGCTGAATAACACCTCTGAGAGTGACCCTAATGGGCCAGGAGCACCCAGAGAGTTGAGATTTGAGCAAAGGGGAAGACTTTAGGCTAATCACTAGGAGATGGTGAGTTCTAGTCCCGCCTTAGGCATTAAAGGCAGCTGGGTAACTTTGTGCAACTTTTCAAGGTTCTCCTTCCAAAATCCATCCTTCAACCTTTCTGTGTCTCGACTGTAAAATCTAACTCTAGTTGTGAATGTGAGCCTTGCATCAGGGTTAACACGTATTCCCTCCGCAGTACCTTTCACCGTCCCCTCCACAGTGGCCGTCTCCGTCGCGTGCACCAGAAGGATGTCTCCTGACCCACCGCGGACGTCGGGACCATCATCACCCTGCAGTGAGAGAGAAACCCCCACAAAGTACCCATAAGAGATGACGTGCAAATTTCCTTTGGATGCCGTGATTGTGAGCTTCCTGACCAGATCTGCAAACCGCACAGCACCCATCTTCACCTCCTGTGAGGTCATTGAGGCCACTTGGAGGTTGTCCTGCAGCAAACTTGAGGACACAAAGAAACCTCTAAGTGGCCTCAACGACTCTCTATAAAAGATGCAAATGACCAGCTGTCTGCAAGGAGTATGAATCCTTCCATTCCCCACCGTTCCCCACAATTTTGCAGGTTGTAGAGATCACTCCCCTCCGGCCGCTGTGGGTAACCCTGGGAGACAGCCTTGAGAGAGATATGCCTGGAATGTGCTTTTGTTTTTGGCTGCTGTGCTGCTTTGCCGTTTTCCAATCCCCTTGCTTATGGCAACTCGAGAGCAGGCCAGGGATGCTTTGTGAGTTGACAGCATCAACAATTAATCTAGTCTGGTTCCAAGCACAACCCGAAAGCAAGAAAACAACCCAAAAAGGAGAAGTCAGAACTTACTTCCTGTTTCAAGGTCAGCCTGGATATGATTTCGGTGTGGTTAACAAGGGACAATTCATCCACTTCCTCCTCCATCTGCAGGTTTTCCAAAGATTCCAGTGACTTCTGCGGTCTGGATGCACAAGACAAAAGTGGATGCACTGCATCAAGAGAAGGCCTATCATCGCAAGGTTTCTAGTTCTCAGTGTTTTGGAAGGAATTGGACGTAGATCAAAGGTTAGCCATGGATTCCGTCTAAAAATCTGGCCGTGTGTTTACTGGATTTCCCCAGAGAAAGCTTAAAAACTGGCGGATATTAGATGTTGTGTATGTATATGAAATA